GGGTGCCAGAGGCTGGAGGATGGAAGGGGGGTGGCTTAACGGGGACAGAGTTTCAGTTTTATAAGATGAAAAAGTGCTGGCGATGGATGGTGGTAATGATTTCGGAACAATGTGATTGTATTTGATATGGCAGGCCTGTACACTTAAAAATGAAAAAAATGTTTATTCATTATTTGAGAGAGTGAGAGACAAAGTGCAAGTATGGGAGGAAAGAGAGAGAGGGAGACAGGATCTGAAGCAGGCTCCAGGCTCTGAGCTGTGAGCACAGAGCCTGGCACAGGGCTCCAACTTAAATGCAAGATAATGACCTGAACCAAAGTTGGATGCTTAACCGACCGAGCCACCTAGGCTCCCCAAGATGGTAAATTTTGTGTTACGTTTATTTTACTACAATTAAAAATATTATTCAAAAAAATTTTAATGGTTAAATATTCAGAATTCCAAGGGAAAGGGGAAAATTTTTTAATTCATAGAAAGCCAGAAACAGATCCTTCACAGAACTCATCAGACACATTTACGCCAGAAGACAGTGGGAGGGTACCTCCATTGTTCTGAAGAAAAATTATTTTGAACCTTGAATTATAGATTCAGCCAAATAATCAAATGAGGGCAAAGTAACAACATTTAAAATATTCTCTAAAAAATATTTCATAAAAATCTTCAAAATATTTAATAAAAAATGTTTTCTAAATAGATTTACTTGAGAACAAATAAATACTGAAAATACTTATTACACTGAACAAAAAAAACATCCAGAAAAAGAAAGAAATGGGATCTAAGAAACATAGTTTTGCTTTAATCAATAATGTGTGACAATACAGAAAGCTATAAATAGAAGGCTCCAGATGACAACAGCAAGCCTGGAAAGTAACCCATTCTGATTAGGTCAGAATGGCAAAGCTTTCAGGGCATGATGGCTTTAAGAAAAAAAAAATCCACTACCTGCAACAGATAATATCATTAAGGAAATGGTATATATAATAGGAAGAAAAAAGAAAGGCAGTGAGAAACTCTAGGGAAAACAAAAAGTTACAGAAAAAGGAGTGTTAGTCCAACGTTAGTTAGCAAACTAAAGGTATGGCATGGTTTTCAATAACTGATAAAATGTAACAAAAGGGATTGGATTAGAAATACATTGCTTTGGGGTACCTGGGTGGCTCAGTTGGTTGAGCATCTGACTTCGGCTCAGGTCATGATCCCACGGTTCATGAGTTCGAGCCCTGTATCAGGCCCTCTGCTGACAACTCAGAGCCTGGAGTCTGCTTCAGATTCTGTGTCTCCTTCTCTCTCTGCCCCTCCCTTGCTCGCGCTTTGTCTCTTTCTCTCAAAAATTAATAAACATTAAAAAATTTTTAAAAATATATTGCATTGAGGGGCAGATATTTAGTAACATCGGATTGTATTTTTTTACTTTTTCTTCAGTGAATAGCATTTGTGTAATCATAATAATAGTGTCCTAAAAATTTTTTAGTTTCAGTTTTTATACTTCTAAACCACAAAGAATTGTGATTGTAGAACAAAATATATGTTTTAAACCTTATAAACTGTGGAAGCAAGAAGTAGGCCAGGAAAGGTGGGAGGCAAGTGCGGGACATTAATTTCATTATCTTTTGTAATAAGAAGACAGGAAATAGTCTTTAAATCAAACATAAAAATTGAAATTTTAATTTTAATTAATTTTTAACTTCAGTTTACAAAGATAATTGAAAAACTAAAAATAATCATTAAAATTAGAAGGAAAAGTAGGGATATATAGGTCACAAACCCTACAAATTTGTGAGGTTAAAATTCATGAGCTAAATTAACGTCTGTCAGAGCGGAAATAATATGTTAATAATTATTACATATAACATGGTACATATGTGATAACATGTGTAACATATATTACATGTAATATGTTACATACATATCTATACCATGTTAATAATAATTCAGTTAATATATAATGATAAATCAAGAAATAAAGATATATGCATAAATTTTAGAGAATTTAATTTTAAGTAACCATCTGGTAAACTAAACCATAAAAACTAAAAACAGGGTTTGTTTAATATATTTGCCTCTGGGGGCACCTGGGTGGCTCAGTCAGCTAAGTGATGAACTTTGGATCAGGTCATGATCTTGTGGTTCATGAGTTCAAACCCCACACTGGTCCCCAAGCTTTTGGTACTGGAGCCTGCTTGGGATTCTGTCTCTGCCCCTCCCCTGCTTGCACACACTCACTCCCTCTGTCTCAAAAAAAAAAAGTTTGCCTCTGGGAAGCTGGGGTAGAGTGGATACGGGAAGGTAACAGGAAATTTGTTTATCTTTTTATATCCTTGACTTTTGTTAAGAACTCTTTTCTGTAGGATACTTACTGTGCTTTTTTAAAAGTAATAAAATGGCGGGCGCCTGGGTGGCTTCATCCTTTCGCTTAGGTCATGATCTCGCAGTTCGTGGGTTCGAGCCCCGCGTCGGGCTCTGTGCTGACTGCCAGCTCAGAGCCTGGAGCCTGTTTCAGAGTCTGTATCTCCCTCTCTCTCTGACCCTCCCCTGCTCACGCTCTCTCTCTCTCCTAGAAATAAAACATTAAAAAAAAATTAAAAAATAAATAAATAAAAGTAATAAAATGGCTACACAATTGCTAATTATGTGAACTGAATAATATATAGAGACTTAAAATATTTAACTACTTTTTGCATTTTGCGATGTTTAGGATACATTAGCATACTTTATAGGATGCTCTGCAAAACAGCTTTCTTTATAACTAAATGTGTGTGTATATTTCTGGACCAGATCAACCTTGTATATAAACTTGTATACACATTTTTGAATTCTTCCCTGAGGATAGAATCTTCGGTATTAAACTGCTGAGTTAAAGAGCCAACTGTTTTAAAGCCTTCTTGTTATGGAGAAACACATTTTGTCCTTCTTATTTCTGAGTACAGACATTTTGTTGAAAATACTCCAAGGGATGAAATTGTCATCAAAATGTGAGGTTCTTGGTCCAGGTCTGTTTTTGACATCACCTTTTGTTTTTTAAGTTTAATTTATTTATTTTTTTTATTTTGTGAGAGAGAGCGGGTGAAGGGCAGAGAGTGAGAGCGGGGAGTGGTGGGGGAGGAATCCAAAGTAGGTTCCGTGCTGTCAGTGCAGAGCCCAACATGGGGCTCGAACCAACGAACCATGAGCTCATGACCTGAGCTGAAACCGAGAGTCAGAGGTTTAACTGACAGAGCCACCCAGGTGCCCTTTGAGGTCACCTTCTGATAAAATGACTGATTAATGGCCACCATATAGCTTCTCCATTACGGTACCGAAAGGAGTTGCCTTTGTCTACACAGCCCACGAAGGAAGAGACTCGGGGGCAAGAATACTTGTGTTTAGTGAGCAAGTGTTAAAGCCAGATACTCTTAACAACTTTTTCCAACTTTGTTTATGTTCTTGTTTACTCCTCAGTACGACCCTTTGAGGGCCACTGTCTCCAATTTATACAAGGGGAGGAGGAGAGGTAAAGAGAGATGAACTGATCTGATCAGTTCTACGCAGCTCGTAAGCCAGAGATGATGCCACAGCCTGGTATTCTGAGTCCAGAGCCCAAGCTTCACCCACTCTGCTGCTTACAGGCTCCCCTTATTTGGGTCAGGCCCATTCAGCGCCCACACAGAGGGTACACCCCACAAACGGAGGAGGAACCCCAGCTTACAGCCCAGCACACAGCAAACGCTGGACGAGTAATTGGCAATCAAATAGATGGGCCAAGCTTTGCACTAATCTCTACATTAGTGTTGTCTTTGATCTCCATGTGGTGAGGTATTGATATCCCTATTTTACAGATGAGAAAAGTGAGGTTGCCAGAGGTCAAGTCACTCATGCATAGCATCACAGTTCTTGTGAACGAGCTGGCATGTCCATCCAGCCCTGGAGGGTTAGAAATCCAGAGCTCTTTATTTTGTTCAGAGTGCCTCTGAGAGAATCAAGGGAGCTAATTCTTGTGAAACCCTTAGCCTACGGGTTTCCAAAGTGTATTCCACGAACAAAGCACAGCAGTAGCTCCTTTGGGAACTTGCTGGAAATGCCACGTGTGAGGCCCTGTCCCCGGGTCTGGTGAATCAGAAACTGGGGGCAGGATGCAGGTCTGACGCGTGCTCAAGGGTGAGAGTCAGCCCAGGGTCTGAGCCCTTCCAGGTTCTCGCAAGATGCCAGCCCTTGGTTTTGTCGGATCCTAAGGAAGAGGTGGATGGAGGGGCTGGAGGCGAGTGTCTAGAACATACCAGCTCCTCACGGTTGATTGATACCAGCCACTCCTGGCATCCTTCACAAATGCACATTTGTCCTGGGCTTTCGCTGGCTGGAGCCCAGAGGACGCCACCCAGGAGAGAGAGAGGGCTGGGCACATTAGCCCACGGGAGCTCTGAGGGCCACCTGTCAGGTTGTTGAATCGCCTGGCAGCCAGCCACCTCCCACCATGCGATGCTTCTCTGCCCCGTGCCTCCCCTGGTGCGGTCCTGATGTCAGGAGTGGGCTGCAGGCTGCCCCTCTAAGGGGGTGTGTTCCTAGCGAGGGGGAGCAGACGGTATGGAGGGGGAGGGAAAGGTGCTATGGGTTCTTCCCCGGGCCTCTGCGAAATTTTGCCTGACTCAAAACGGTTCACGGATCCCCAGTGCCGTCTATGGGTTGTTATGTGAGGATTCGGGAATTTAATGTTCTTGAGGTCTGTGAGGTGCCAGGCTCGGGGAAGATGGCCCTACTACGTGCAAGCCGCCATGCTCAGCCCCTTGAAGTGCTTGTCCCACTCAGTACTTAACAGATACGCCGTGTGGAAGCCACGCTCTAAGGAAACAGGCTCAGAGAGGTCCAGCAATGGTCTCAGGCAGCCCAGCCAGTGAGGACAGAGCTGGGTCCAAACCCAGCTGGTCTTACCGACTCCGGGCTTATTCTGCTGTAACTCTTAGTTACGACCTGACGGGAGGACGTGAAGCGTGACCACAGACAAGTCCCTGTCTCTTCTCATCCCCTAGGTTGCTCCCAACCATGGCCTTCACACAGCAGGATTCTTCATAGCCTCCATCGCCTCCTTCGTGCTGACCTGGGCCATGCTTTTCTTCCTGGCTCGATACCAGTGTATGAAGGGAAGCCTGCTCACCAGGCACCAGGTGAGTCCCCACGTGCATCTGTTATTGGAGGGTAGTCCGGTTGGCGTAGACGCCAGGTTGAAGTCTTTCCTCCAGTTCGATGGGTGTCCGAATCCCCAGGGAAAGGACAGAGAAGTGCTCATGTCCAGGCTCACCTGCAGAGGCCGTGACTGAACTGTCCCAGGATGCGCCCCCATCCTTGGTCATTTTTTTTTTAATGTTTTTTATTTATTTCTAGGAGAGAGAGAGACAGCGTGAGCAGGGGAGGGTCAGAGAGAGAGGGAGTCACAGACTGAAACAGGCTCCAGGCTCTGAGCTGGCAGTCAGCACAGAGCCCGACGCGGGGCTCGAACCCACGAACCGCGAGATCATGACCTAAGCAAAAGTCGGGCGCTCAACCGACTAAGCCACCCAGGCGCCCCATCCTTGGTCATTTTTAAAGCTCCCTGGATGATTCCAGCAAGTGCCGGGAGCCCAGAGCCCCTGCAGTCTGACTGAATAACCGAGCACCCAGCCATGCGGACAGTGCTGTGTTCACACCACACTAATTCAGGGCCAAGTCCACACTCCCTGCGGAGAAGTCTTTGGGGACTCACTCCATCCTCTGATCCTTCGGCTCAGCTATGGAGGCCCTTGTGGTGGCTTCTGCCCACCTTGGCTGCCACTTTCCACGTCACCCCTCAGCCCCACCCCACCCAGTGACTCTGCATTCCCCGAGAGCGTGAGCTCACCACACCCACCGTCCCATTTCTACCCCCTCTGCCCTTCGGTGAGCATAGGGTGGGACCCCCCTCTCCAGTCCCTGCACTGGCTTTTGTAGACCACACCCAGCATGCATCCCCATCTCGGGCCCGTCTGTGAACATCTCAGTCTCCGTATTTGTGTCTCAGTTCCCGCAGAAGCACATCTCGACACCAGGGTCCAAATGCAAGGAGTTCGTATGGGGCCTGACCCATACGCACCAGGAGATACTGGTGCGGGGTGAGGAGGTGAGGCAGGAAGGGAGGGCGGCCGGTCAGGTTAGCGCTGTGGGCCCCTGGAGCCTCACCCTCTGTGGGCAACTCTGGGGACCGTATGGAACGAGGCTCAGAGTCATCCCAGCTGAGGAGGGATGGTGCTGGGGCATATGTCACACCCCGTTGATCATGGGTCAAGGATAGGGGGGCAGAGTCGCTGTTAGACGGGAGGGGAGGATGGACTGCCCTCCCCACTGAGAAGGCGCTTCGAGGCCAGAAAATGAAGCAGGGACTCCCTACAATTTATAGGTTTATTCGGGCTAGCTTAGCGACAGGGAATGGGGCGCACTGCCACCCGGATGCTGTGCAGCTGGGGTTTCACACAAAGTACAGACCTCAGTCCACAGATATTATAGAGCGAGAGGACGTGCAGAGGGCATTGCAGTGGGATCAGAGGGGCCGCATGTACCTCCAGGGGCCCACGTGCACCTGCTCAACAGCTATCCTTTAATTAGATCTCATGGGGCCATCTGTGCGTTGGGAGGCGGAGAGACTGTGTTATCTTTAAGAAATTTACGGAGAGCCAAAACAAGCCTCCCCCTTCCCGCCTCGATGGGCATTTCTAAGGTATGTGTATTAATCTACATGGAACACATAGCCCCAAGAGAGGATGTGAGCAAGATGTCGGGCCACCCATGGAGCCAGTATTGCCCACACTCCTACAGGGACCAGGACAAAGGGTGACGTTATTTCCTGGCATGGGCTCTGAAGGCCGGCGGAAGGCTTTGGGGAAGCAGTGTAGATACTGGCTGGTGGGTCTTGGGCTAGTGGGCCCTGAACCAGCAGGGGCGAGGGACTTGTGTAGGAGGCAGGCGGTCTCTGCTACAATTCCCATTGCCTCGTACGGAGCCTGGCACTGAGGAGGCCCTGAGTACATGTGTGAGGGGATGGATGAGCCCTTGGCCCATCAGTGGGTGGACAGGCAGGAAGGAAAAGAGGGCAGCAGTTCATAGAGTGAGAGGGGCTCCGTGGAGCCATCCCCAGAAGGCACTGCTGGAAGTAAGCACCCGCTGGCAGCTTCCTGGTCCCTCCGGGTCCCGGAGGGCTGGAGCTGCTGTGACTCAGTGTCCCCCAAAGGCCCAGCAACTTGAAGAAACATAGCCATCTTTCCCCCTCGCTTTATTTTTTTTAACTTTTTAAAAATTTACTTATTTTAGAGAGAGAGAGAGAGAGAGAGACAGAGTGTGAGCAGGGGAGGGTCAGAGAGAGAAGGAGACACAGAATCTGAAGCAGCTCCAGGCTCTGAGCTGTCAGCAAAGAGCCCGACACGGGTCTTGACCTTACAGACTGAGAAATCATGACCTGAGCGGAAGTCGGACGCTCAACCGACTGAGCCAGTCAGGAGCCCCTCCCCTCACTCTATATTGAGGAAACTGAGGCCCATGAAGTTAAATACTTGCTTCAGGTGGCCTGGGGACCTGGCTTCTGGGGGCCGTGTCTGGAGGCTGGATGTCGTGTCCCATCGTTCACTGTATGTCTGCTTCCCTGGCCAGAGGATGGCCGTTTCAAAGTGAGATCGGCCTACAGTGTCCGTGGCAGGCAAAAGTGAGGGGAAGAAGAAAGGTCCCTGTCATCAGACCTCTGGCTTCTCTCTCAAAGCTGTTATCGATCACAGAAGAACAAAACCTCTCAGCTGCTTTGATGAAAGAGCAGAAATCCCTTCCCTGGAGATGAAAGGCTGATCATTACAATCACAGAGAGGAAAGCAAAGTGTTGATTTAAGGTCTGAAGACCCTTGAAGTTCACAGGAGGAATGCTTTTCACATCTTCCTTTAGTTTTGCCAGCCTGAGGCAGCTGCTGAGACAGTGCACAATAAAGCAGAAGAGAGCCTTCTTCACTCCTTCCTTAGGAGTTCGATCAATTTGGGGCCAGATACCAACCCTGACTCTTCGTGAGCTATGCGAACTCAGATAACGTCATTTCACACCTCTGAGCCTTAGTTTCTTATTTGTGATGTGGGGGAACCGCATTTATTGTGTTCTGATAGTTTCATGATAATACACATATAATGTACAGGGACAGGGATTCTTAAATATTAGCTGTAGTTATCACCCGTTTTTCAGAATTAATATTAAGGACACAATAGATACATCTATCCAATCATAGGGTTGGGCTTAATTATCTTTGATGTCATTTCAATCTGACAGTTCTATATTCTGGTTAGAAACCAGCCAGATCCATGAAATTGAAGTTCATCTACCAACTATAATTTTCCTCTGCATGATGGTGATGGTGGTGGTAGTGGTGGTGGTGATGATGGTGATGGTGGTGGTCGTGATGATAGTGATGATGATGGTGATGGTGATGCTATGATGACGGCGATGGTGATATGATGATGGTGATGGTGGTGAAATATTTTCATAGGTCTTTACAGCTTGCAAAGGCCTCTCCATCCATTGGTTTGTTTATACACACAGTAACCCTGTGTGGGGCTACTGGAATTATGATCCCATTTCTTTGATGAGAAAATGGAGGCTCAGGGAAAATGCAACGTCCTGCTTGAGTTTACCCTGGTCACAAGTGATGGGGCCAGCAAGATCCTCTGACTGCAGATCTCTGCCTTCCCTCATGACTCTCTGCACAGGACATTCCCAAGAGGGCTCACTCCATTGTTTCTGAAATTTCCCTGTAGGTTCAGCCTCATGAGAACAAGCTGGAGCACTGCCAGTTCACCTCAGCCGATGGCATCAATGAGGACCTTGCTCTCAATGACCAATTGATTGACATCCTGTCTTCAGAAGACCCCGGGAGCATGCTTCAAGCCTTAGAAGAGTAAGAATTCTCAGTCACATTATACTTGCTTGGATGTGGTGAATGCTTTATTTAAAAAAAAATTTTTTTTTAATGTTTATTTATTTCTGAGAGAGAGAGAGCCAGCGTGAGCAGGGAAGGGTCAGAGAGAGGGAGACACAGAATCCAAAGCAGGTTCCAGGCTCTGAGCTGTCAGCACAGAGCCCGACGCGGGGTTCGAACCCACAAACTGTGAGATCATGACCTGAGCCGAAGTCGGACGCTTAACCGACTAGGCCACCCAGGCACCCCAATGTGGTGAATGCTTTAACGTCACTGGCCTCAGAGCAGACACGGAGTACATTTCATTCATTCATTCATTCATTCATTCAGTCAGTCAGTCATTTGTTACTCAGTAGTCATAATGGAACTATTGCTATGCTTGGTATTTGGGAAAAGGGATGAATGAATAAGATATAGTTTGTACGGTAAACTGTCTGATCTAAGGGGGAAGACAGACATGTAAATTTAAGTGACCATAAAAGTTTGATGAACACATTGCTAAAAGGAAAAATCAAGGCCAGCTGAGCTGAGAAAAGAATTACCTCTGAGAGAGTCCTGGAAATGCATCTCAGAGGTGATGATATACTAACTAATTCTTGAGGCATGGATATAAGCTTTCCAACCACATTATGAGAAGAAAGACTTTTCAGGTAGAGGGAAGAAAAGGCAGATGAAAGGTTGAACAGGATGCATTTGGTGAACGCAGTAGCTCAGAACGACTGATGTGTGGACTGTTGTATTGTGTGCCTTAAAGTCAGGGAAGAGGCAGCTGGAGAGAGCGAGGCCAGGGCAGGTGATGTGTTGGCTGAACTGAATTTGATTCTTGTAGTTTATTATCATTTATTCGCTCGTACTTACAATGTACCACCTGTGAACATGGAGCCAGACACACTTCATGAAGACAAAGTCATGATCCTCCTAGCAACCCTACAGAGCGGCGGGGGGGAGAGTGGTGTTCTCACCATGATGAGGAGCTTGCCCCAGGGCACACACTGTAAATGAAAGAGCCAGGTTCAAGGCCAGGCTGCCTGGCTCCAGGGTGTGTGCCTCTAATCGAGCCCACGGCTTCTCCTGGCCGGCGCAGAGGTCATGGTCTCCAAGGCAACTCACTCAGTTCATCACCTTGGCTTTTCCGCTTTCCCTTTCGGCAAATATTTACGGAGAGCTTCTTTCTGGGTTTCGTTTCTTGGTGTCCCGTTGTCTTCCAGAATTCTGTTCTTTTACTTCTTCAAGCGTAAGAAGCCTCATTATTTTAGAATCTCTGAAGCATTATTACCTTTCCCATGTTCATGTGCCTGTTGTCTTTTGTTCCTCTTCGTCTCTGATCCCATTTCTTTGTCTCCTCGGATGCCAGTTTTGATTGTGCGCCAGTGGGTGTGAAAATTTATGAAGACGATTGAGGACTGACTAAGATGGGGTTACCCCCTTCCAGGCAGCGAGAGGCGTCATTCTGGGTGACCTCCATATAGAGACTGAGACCATGCCGGGCAGAGTTTCCGGTCCTTCAAGGTCCGGTCTGTTTCTGGCATATCTTTACCTCCAAGGCATCTGTAGCCACCAAAGAGTAAGGGACTTTATCAGGCTGACCTCTCCTTGGAGTCCCTGGACTTGAGTTTCCGCCTCCCCGGTTCTGCAGGTCTGTTGAGAATTCTGCAGAGTTGATCAGCCCTTGGGGCTGCCTCTTCTGGTACTTAGCAGACGCCCTTCGGAATCGAGTGGCCCCAGATGTGGGGCTACCCTCTCTGAGTTTCTTTGTTCTGCTAGTGATGTTATCTTTTATTCCTCCTTGTTGTCTCAAACTGGTTTTGTTTTCACTCACCTTTTCTTTTGAGGGGATAGTTTGTCCAGATTACCTGGACCACAAATAGAATGCATCTTTGTGTCAGCCATACTCTAGGCGATGAATAGACACTGTCCCTGCCACAGAGGCACCTGTGAGAGGGATGGACAGGCAAGCAGGCCAGCCCCAAGATAGCACAGAGCAGGAGCACCCTTGAGTGGCCCCCAGAGTTAGATCCGGGTTTAAGTCTAGACTGTGCCACCACGCGCCCTTGGTTAAGTTACATGAGTGAAAGCTCAGGGTGCGAGGGGCTAGGTCATGGAGGGTTCTGGATGTCAGCTCCATGGTAGGCCCTGAAGACCCAAGGAATGGCCTTTTAATTTTAATAGGGGCGGATCTGTGTGTTGAAAGGCCACTCTGGGTACAAATGGGCAATGGCTTAGAAGTCCAGGGAGATTGTTGGAGATGGCGATGGGTGACTTGGGGAGGAGCCGTAGGTTTGGGGAGGACAGGGGCTAGCAGGAGGAGCCTAGTGAACTTAGCAGCCAATTGCCGTGTGGCTGTGAAGGGATGCACGGGGGGCGGAGCGGTGCCGTCATTTGGACATTGAAGGGGAGGGAAACTATTTCCCTGGGAAGTCATGTTGGACCGCTGATTATTAGCAACAGGGCCACGTGGGAACCCCCCAGGCCGGATTCCATTTGTGACCAACTTCTTCTGATCGTACATTCGGGATGCATAGCTCCACCCGCTCGTTCCCCACTGGGGAGTGATATCTATCGATTTTGAGTCATCGCCATGCCGATTAGCTCTAACGCCTTATATTTTTACTTAATGTCTCGTATTTGTGCAGCATTTAAAAATGCAGGGTCTCTTACACATGTTGACTTGGTTCCCGTACGAACCATCTTATTTTTGGTAGAGCGTCTCATTTTCAGCATTTGCTAGTTGAAGAATATGATGCTCATGTAGGTAAGGAGGTTTATCTGTAGCCACACACCTAGTAAGTGAGTTTTTCTCTGTTTAATCTCGGCCACGTTCTGTTCTCCAAATACTCTCTGATCCTCAGTTTCTTCCTCTCTCAACTGGGGAAACCAGAAACACTATGGGAGACTGGACAGCTTGATGATGTGCAAGTCCTCACTGCGGTGTTCATTCCAAGCCAAGGTCTCCCTTGAAGGGACATGGGCAGATGGTAAAGAGAAGCGTTCAAGATGGTCAGCCCTTCTCCGAGTCTTTCTCAAGAGCCATGCAAACAGCACCTGAGTAGCTCTGGTCCCATCTCCCTGGAGGCTGGAAACGGTGTCCCGTGGCATGAGACGGACCCAAGAGAGCCTCAGAAACAGAGAGCACAGTCTTTACTTCTTAGGAGTGACGGGTCACTGGTCTGGGAGAAGAGCTCTCTCGTGACTGACTCACGGCATTTTGTGAGCTGAGGGGTGTTCCAAGCCCAGAGGGACTTCCTTCCTGCCTGAGGGGAGCCCCTTCCCAGCTGAGCGCCCTCACGCACTGTCGGGACTTCAACCATGAAGGGCAAGACTGTCCTGGCACGGAACTGGGCATCAGGCCTTGTTTACCCGTTTCTGGGTCCAGCATCATTCGGCTTGGCTCACTGAGCTTTGTGCAGCCATTCAGTCATGATCCTTCATTTTTTATTTTTTTATTTTTATTTTTTTAATATTTTATTTATTTCTAGGAGAGAGACAGAGAGAGACAGCGTGAGCAGGGGAGGGTCAGAGAGAGAGGGAGATACAGACTCTGAAACAGGCTCCAGGCTCTGAGCTGGCAGTCAGCACAGAGCCCGACGCGGGGCTCGAACCCACGAACCGCGAGATCATGACCTAAGCGAAAGTCAGACGCTCAACCGACTAAGCCACCCAGGCGCCCCCATGATCCTTCATTTTAACTTAACCCCCTAATCAGAACACCAAGGGCAACACGTTAACGTTTGCCACACTTTTGGAGGAGGGAGGATTGGATGGGCAGCAGGGGAAAGGTGGCTGGTTTACTGGCAAAGATTCGTAGATGTCTCTGATTACAGTAAGTGGTAGGAACAGGTGCATTACCAGAGTATTTCCTAGCTTTTTGTCTGTTTTCTTCCAAAACACGAAAATGCAAAGTAGAGCGAAGGGATTTTGTTTGTGTGATCAGCACCTGGGTATTTAATTTCCAAGTAGGTGGTAGTTCCCCACCTCCGGCCAGAGGAAGTAGGGCTGTGATTAGCATATATGTGGGTGGGTGTAATATATGTGTATATTAATACATACATAGCAGTATATGTGATAGTAACCTATCATAGTAACAAAAGATAATGTAAATAGTATTTGCACTACATGGGAAGGCATTAATCATCCTTTGTTGTTGGTTCAAGAAGTGATTGGTGCACCTGAGTGCCTCAGTCGGTTAACATCTGACTTTGGCTCAGGTCGTGATCTCACGGTTCCTGGGCTTGAGCCCCGTGTTGGACTCTATGCTAACAACTCAGAGCCTGGAGCCTGCTTTGGATTCTGTGTCTCCCTGTCTCTCTCTCTGCCCCTCCCCTTCTTGTGCTCCGTCTCTCTCTCTCTCTCAAAAAAATAAACATTAAAATTAAAAAAAAAAAAGAAGAAGTGATGGCATGTAGGGAACACAGTCTTCCTCGAGTCCTGCATTTGGTAGAATCAACAACAGCCACTGCACGTGTCAGTCCTGACATGTGAAATGCCATGAGGACCGAGGTTACCAAGACGGTATTCCTGTAAGTCACCCAGGAGCTCCAGAATTTGATATTTATTTCTCTTTGGAAGCTGCTCTTGTTTTGCCTGAAGATTGTTTAACGTTGATTGTCAAGCCTGACCTGAGACTGCCAGCTGCCTTGGTCCCTCGCCCCCTCCGCCCCCCATCCCAACGTTCAGTATTTATTGATCGCCGGCTCTGTTTCAGGCTCTGTGGTTGAATGCTCATTTCAGGGTCTTGGTGATTTCTTTTTTTTTTTTTTTTTTTACTTTTAATCACAGCATTGTCAGTTACTTCTAATCTTTCCATCTTGACTTCTCGTCAGGCTTAGAAGCTCCCAGAATGAAAATGTCACTCAGAATGTTGAGCTTAGTATGCATGGAAATCTGTGATTGTCTCCCCACTAAAAATAGCTTTTTTTTTTTTCCCACGAGCAAGTCATTTATCACATTTGTGGTTTGCTTTTGACAAAGAACGTTTCCTT